GTAGAGCAATGGCTTATTCTTCCGATGGATGGTCAAAAGTTGTCAGTAATGTATGATATAGGAGGTCGAATTTGTCTTTCCATCATATAATTTAAAGTTCAAGACTATAAATTTACTCGGGATCCGACCTCTCTTAATCCATTTGGTAAAGGGGGAGGACTTTGTACCGTCTCTATACTCCTCCATGACTCTTCGGGCTAGGTCCCTAGCCGATTTTGCGCTGGCCTCTTTAGTCGGTTATTGAACTCTTCAGTTATGAATTGCTTCCAAGAGTCCTCATCCTGACCCCGATGTCTTTTTTGCTTATATTCCTTTTTCTCAGCGTTTTCCCTTTTACTACGCTTCTTCTCGGGACTCTCCCGTCGGTTTTCTCTGCTACTCCTCTTCCTCTTGGTCATTTCTTTTAGTCTAACTTTTAATTCTATATTTTCTTTCCTTAGATCTCTTTCTCTGGCGTAGGATTTCTTGAACAATTTGTCATGCGCGTCAAGTCGGTCTCGTAAGGATTGTACCAGTTTTGCCAGAGCGGGGTTCTCCCCCTAGGTACGGAGAGATTCGCCCAGGTCAACATGATGTTAGCTCTGGTGCTTATAGGGCTTGAAACTTGCTAAGGACAACTAGTCATCCTCATATGGCTTGTCTAGGCTTTTGCCCATGTCCATCCTAATGTCACTATTGGATGGGAATGATACTTTGTAGCTTGGATAGGAATCCTGTAGAGCAAAACTGCCTACAGGTGAGCCGATGACACTCTTTAGTTTCAACATTTGTTTTTTGTTCTACTTGATGAAGATCTTCCCACAAACGGCATCAAATGTAAGAGACAAAAATCAGAAGTACCTCCTACAGTAATGAAGGAATGATCTTTTTTTGTAGATGGGCTCTGAACTTGTTCTCCAAATCTTTTCTCTGCAAAATGAACAAATTGTCCAAAATCGAAGTGTTTCGATCAAAGGTACTCCGATACTTAAATCAGTAATGAAATTGAGTAAATTGTGAGAAGACAATGATAATTCAACGTACCTTTCACCTTGGCTCCTTATGTCTTTTATAGAGTTCGTTTCAGTTAGGGTTTCCATGATTTTTGATTCAAGATGGTACACCTTCCCTTAATCAAGTGATTATGTTCAGGAAGTTGCTAAGATTTCTCCAACAATTCCTTCTACCAAACCTATGATTATGCTCATTCGTTAGACCAAAATGTTTGAATTGTAGGCATCTCTTTGGCGCCACGTTCATTATTTTAAACACCTCGGTCGTGACAAGGATCAAGTTCATTCCTTCCTTCCCGAACTTCTTGAATAGCTCGGTTGCTATCTGATGATAGAGTCTAGTTATGTCTTTGTCACCCTCACGTGAGATCATTTAATACTATTACACGTGTCATAAAAGGAGCAACCCCTTCGGTAGGTATACAAAATCAATTCCAATAAACGTCGCATTTACCAGAAAGAAGTGTGCAAGGTAAAGATGCAGCACTATATAGGAAAAAAGACAAGCCACTCGGTAAATGTCACAAACATGTGGCGTGCTTCCACAAACACCTGGTACCTTGGACTGGAAACTTCTACTAAATTGCATTCTAAGTTTACTGCAATACAATATTTCAGCTAATCCTTCATTTGGATGTCGACACATCTAACGAAAACAAAATAAAATGAAATCAAACAATGGTATTAGACCCAAGAATTGGATTTGTTTTTCGATTAACTTGAAAAACAAAGGAATAAAAGTAAATTGGAGTCATATTTCCTTTCTTCTTCTTTTTCTTTTATTTTCTTTTGGTTTCTTTGCGACCACCAAACAATATGTTAAGTAACCAGTGAAGATTACCGAACAAAGTGAAAGCCAAAATTGAGAGAAATTAGAAAAGAGATTGACCTTCAAGTTGCCATTGAAAGATTGAACTGTGGCGGTCATTTTTCCTCAATTCTGTTTTTTCTTTTGGGCCTTTAAACCCTACCCAGTGAATAAAAAAAAATAACATATTTAAATTTATTGTTTTATATTTGATATTCAAAAGGGTTAAATGTCGATGTACATGGTGTATATAAACAAAAAATAGATTAATTAAAACCTTTGACAAAAACTAAGGCTAATTGTATACAATTAACTTCAACAAGCTTTCTTACCTTGAAAGCATTACTTGGTAACTTCATTATCAATGTCATTAATAGAAGAAAAAAAATTTATGTATACAATCAAGCTATAACCTATAGCTTAGGTAACCAAGTTGATCCCCATGAACAACTATAGGATGTTTTTTTCATTTACAAAGCAAAACTCACAAATTCGCAGTGATAGAAATCATATAACAGTAATAGATACTAAATGTGAAAAAATAAAGAAAAATCCATAATAAAAAAAAACCATCTTTGTAGATTGCATGTCACCATGCATCGATCCTTACAAATCATAGCTAAAAACTTACACAAACATCAAATGGGTACTTACAAATATGACTTCTACATGCAATGGAACAAGTATCATCAACCAATCCAGTCGCAAGTGGCTGTCCAAAGAATAAACTACCAAAATTTCAATATCAAAAGTCTCCTTCATGATATCAAAAGGAAAAAATAAAATTATTCATAAAATATCAATAGTTAGGCTAAAAAACAATCTAATATATATATGAATATAACATTAGATCCCAATAACAGAAAATGATAGCAAGATCATGTCAAAACAAACTCCATGGTGGGAAAAGATTTAGCTATATGCAATGGAAAAAAACCCTAGAACAATTTATGGGTGTTATGCTTAAATTGCGTCTTATGACTTCCTTTTTGGTTATAAAAAAACTTTCATCATACATTAGATCAAGTCAAAATTTTAACATTACAAACCCCTAGACAATCTAAGCTATAACCAACCCCAAAGACCATTTACAATCATCCACATCCTTTCTTTTTCATTATTAAATAAACCTACATAGGAGAAAATTTTTATTGAGCAACTGAAATTACAGAGTATATATCTTGGGAGGTTGTGGGGGTGAACATTTCGGTTTTACCAGGAACCAAAATTACATAGAAAGCAAATTTAGACTTTGAAAAGAAATCCTTAAACAATAGGACTATAAAAGCCTGGAGTCTTGGAGTGAACCAGTAACAGATGTAAACATATTCAAATAAGACTTTAGGGGGACTATATCCACATCCCAGTCACTGGTTTTCTAACCACCTATTTGCTTAAAATGTTTTATTTTTTGATTTGTGCTTCTGTTCCTGAACACCCTCTTATTCAGTTTTGTTACTTTCATTTTCTGCCCTCACTTTTGTTCTTGAACCAAATCATTACACGCGGCAAACAAAAAATAACATTTGAATAAAAGAACAATTGCAAATTGAGGCGGCGACCGCGGTGGTGGAGTGGAGGAAGGGGGTTGCGGTTATCAACTGTAGCATGGGCTTGCGACGATAAAGCTTCACTTCTGATAGTTTGAATGTGAGGTTTGTTGAGTTGAAAAAAAAAAAGTAGGACTTGATCACATTATTTGAATCTAGCGTTTTTCGGTATGGATATCATGTTTTTTATTAGATCGAGAAAAAAATTAGTCGAAGTATAATTAAATTGAACCGGACACCCTTAACCATTGAATCAAATAAAAAAAAAACAAACCCTGTAATAACAAAAATCAAGTATTGATTGTATAATATTTATATTTTTAAATGATAATTTTTTTAATTACACATTCAAAAATTAAAGTAAATAGAGAAATAAAAAATAAATAAATAAGGAAGAGAAGCAAAAGAGGTAGGTGTATATTAATAGAGTTGTTTGGTATTAAGAAATATGTGATTGAGTAGTTTGATAATAAGGATCAAAGCATAAAAAATGATATTTTTTAACAGAAAAAATAATATTTTTTAACAGAAAAAATAATATTTTTTAGCAAAAAAGAAATATGCGACGATGAAAATTTATGAAATGACAGTGAGGAGGATGCAATTTTATCCGTTAAATTAACTCTCCATAGGTTTTGGGGGTGAATAAAGTAATATATTTAGAAATTTAAAACTCTTTATTCTTTATTATATAGATTGAAACAAGTCGTTGCATTAGTCGGTCCATTTCACAAAATTCAATGTGTGGGGCTATTTACACTCTGATTGGACCCAAATTTCACAAAATTCAATGTGTGGGGCCATTTACACTCTGATTGGACCCAAATTGAAGTTGAATCGAAGATTTCTCTTTGTAATTTATGGGTCATGAACCCAAGAAAACTACCCCAATAAAATGTCTGGCATGAATTCAACCATATGATCGAGTCAAATCTAACGCTTCACTGTTGTAGATATGCTTTTGACATCACGAAGTGATGGATAACTTTAGTCTATATGTTGCTCGTCAGCTTCCGAGTATAGTCTTGCAACATTATTAGCGTAAATGAATAATATTATATCAATTTAAAATATAGACTAAATCAATCACTGTTATTAATTTTATTGTGAATCCTATCATTTATTGTAATCTATTATATATTTAATGATTGTGATTAATTAAGTCTACATTTTAAATCTAAATAACATTTTTCGGCATAAATATGTGTAAATATTGTTACTCCTTTTGAGAAGTTTCCTTTATTTGACTGTTTGGTAGCTTGTACAAGGTTTCCTGATAAACTTGGTTGTTGTTCACTTCTTCTACTTTAGTTGTACAGAAACTGAGATGCCAAAACACCTTATAATCAAGATTACAAACCAATGCATATATGGTAAGCCTAATGATTGACTGCAAGCCTTGGGTAAGGGTAATATCATACTTGCTGCTCCTCCTCCAATGGGGCAGAAATTTCACCAATAAATTGATTGTCTCAAACCCCATGAACAAAATCAATTTAATTACACCCTGCCCTTCCATATGTCTATTAAAATTCAGAATGAGACCCGACCCGAGATCTGATTTTCTGTCCATATCGTGGCATTTTATTAGCCAAATAGGAGTAGTGCTGTGGGGATGGATCATGTTCAAGTTGTATTTCAAGTGATACTCTACTCTTCAGCATTGGCAATTGAATGAGAGGGAACGTCCAATGTGAGAGAAAGGTTCAGATCAGGCAAGCCTCTTGGGTCATCTTCCAAAACACTGACAGCATCAGAGACCTGATTATTATCAACATGACATTTCACAGGCTGACATTCATGGCTTTTCGAAGCAGACAACGTTGTACTAGTTGATGCACCGAGACTTTGAAGGTGAGGAAGACTATGATTTAAACGATGATGATTAGGATTGATGCCCATGTTTATAAGCTTTCTCCTCAAACGAGGATTCCAGTAGTTCTTCACTTCATTGTCTGTACGTCCTGGCAATCTTCCTGTTATCAATGACCATCTGATAACATTTTGTTGCCATTAATACAAGTGTTAGTATAAACCCTATATAGCCTTATGACCAAAATTTGTATAATGATAGCAGCAACATACCTCTTTTGTGATTTCTTTCTATCAAAGAATCTTACGAACGGTTTATTCCCACATGATACACTTTGGTTCAAAAAGGTTTTGTCAATTTCAACAAATTTTCCTTTTGTCTTGAATTGAAAATTTGCTCTAATTTGATCCGTTCAATTTCGAAATAGTAGTACTAGAAGTTAATCTTGTTGGAGAAATATATTTCTATACAATCACTGGCCAATTATGGTCAGGTAGGTAATTAGATCTATTGTGCGAAAATCAAAAAAAAAAAAAATGGTCAGGTAGGTAGATAATACTGAAAACATTGAGGATCTGACCAAAATATACATTTTGGTCGTGGTTCCTGTGATTGGATAAAGTTCACTACCATTCTAAGAGTAACAATAGATCATACCAGTAAATTAGATCAAATGATTGTAGTCAAGCAAAATCGCACCGGTTGCCTAAGAGTGCATGACGTCTGATGATGAGATCTTCTTCATCTTCAGCAAAGTTGCCTCTTTTAACGTCTGGCCTCAAATAGTTTATCCATCTTAGCCTACAATTTTACCACAACGAAGTAGACCTGATCATACCAGATGAAAGAAGGAAAAGTCATCTTCTGCTCTTTTACTTCATAATCTTAATATATCAACTAAGATGAAAATTGATGGGACATTTTCAAAATACTCTAAAATGAATACACGTGTCCTCGGTGTCACTAAATTCTTGTTATTGTGATCACGACACGTACCCATCGGTGCACAAGTCCCTCTCCCCCGAGGTATTGGTCGTAGGGATCAATGGCATCCAGTACGTTACGTACCGACACGTGTCCCTCGGTCGGGGGGGGGGATATGGTACATCGGTCCCTATATGTACCTCCCTCTCGGCTCCGAGATGTATCTCCTTCTCGGTTCCGAGGTGTACCGTCCAGGATGGCATTCTCTGCTCCCGTAAAGGCTACTGATGTACAGGTCACTAGCTTAGGCTAGGCTAGGTTAGCCATCATGACACAATTGGTGTCAGAAGGCATAAGAAGGCAGGGGACACAGCCAATGAGGAATGGACGCATGACATATTGTGTCACATCAGAGACAGAAAGACCGGATGCCCTTGCTGACATACCACTTGGGAAAGCAAACATTTAATTACACCATTCCCTTGATGAGACAGTATTTAATGCGGTAAGGCTCGGAAGTGAAATATAATAAATGTCTCTAAGGCTGGACATTTATTACATCCTTGTCGAGAGGAGCTCATTGAACAGTCGGCAGGCCGATGACACAGCATTGGTTACTCGGGATCCCGAGCAGTTAAAAGAGAAGATATTCCTTATAGAAATCAGTGCGCACGTTGTCTGTACCTAATGATCACCTACTGACCACACTGACAGCAATCATAAGTATTTGAGATATAAATACTCCTCACAAAAGGCAAGAGGGGAGAGGTGAAACCTTTGCCACAAATTATACTCAGTGTTTTCTTCTTCCTCTCTCTCAAAAACTGACTTGATCGTCGGAGGGGATACGCCGAAAAACACTCCGGCGCCCTTCTAACTTGTCTTTCTTTGTTCCAGGAACCTTCCTCAGCCTTACTG